CGAAAATAATCAGCTTTTGTGGATACCCTGAAACATTGTTGGGAAATGGAATAGGCAACCAGTGAATGAATTCTGTGACTGAAGCTGCAAATTGCATGAGCAAGTCTCCAGATGCAGATTGAATTCTCCAAGCAGTTTTCTTGAAAGCGTTTCTCGCAGGACAAAAGCAAACCTGCATTCCTTGGCCAGGGACGCGTGATTTTGAGCACAGCGATGTGCGATTAGCAAATGTACGTATAGTTACAAATAGATCTAAATAACATCAAATAACAAGGTTCACACACCCTAGCAACCAACGGGTGTAATTGTGATTGTCTCTCTTACTAAGGTTGCAGCCTTCTAGTTGTATCTCTCTGTATGAGAGCGCTGGATTTGTCCTTGGAAATTGGCAAAGCATCTGTGGTACTACGCCTTTTACTCAGGAACGGTGAAGACTTTCTGAAGCCAATTTGCCCGCACTGGCCCCACTAATCAGGATCGGTTTTCTGCGTCTGCAAAAGCCAAACAGGGCATGCACCACTCTCAAGAAGTGCGTATGGTGAGGATATGTCAGTCTCCATTTCCCAAGTGCCCTAGTCAGCCTTAAGTACTCAGGTCTGTGCAGTTTGATTCTGAACCATTGCTGGCTAGAGACATGAGCAGGAAAGCTGCATTGAGGTTCTGCATGAATATGTAGCAGTTGAAATCTGCAAGGCAGAGGGTATACAATATGCTGGAGAACAAATGATAACACAGCGGTGGACTCTGAAGTCAAAATGTATCAAAGCCGCTTTCAATGATTCGAGAAAATACGTTTGAAAGCTGATATAATATATAATTTTCCTTCAATTTCCATCAATTTCCATAAACTAATGTCCGTCCAATACGTATTTAGTATTGCCGGGGTTTTTGCGGTGGCTCATACAGGTCCACTTCCACTTCCAAGTCAGCTTCAAATTACATCTTCTGGCATCCTTCAGTGGAATGGCTTTCTATGTGATCTATGTGGCAAAGCATAATACAAGTATGCTCGTGCAATTTTGAAGGCCCGCAGAGCCTTTCTCCCGAAACTGACATCCATTGACAGGGCTGTGGACTATGTTCGCAGTTCCATGATTCGAACCGCTAGGAACAGGAGAAACACCGTAGTCAGGCGTAATTATATACTGAATTGAAAGGTAATGAAAGGAACATATTAACATAATTTAAAATATTATGTTCGCATCAAAGACAAGACAACAAATCAAAGATGATCAAAGTACGTGGTGTCCCACGCGTGTCAAGAGCTTTGGCGTATGAAGGATACGATGCACGGATGCACAGAATTTCAAGACAAGCAGCATGCAGGCGACCAGGGTCACCTAAGCCGTGTTGCACCCGGGCACCAATTCATTCGAACAGTTTGAAGATGTTTGAAGCGTTTGGTGTTCCTAGATCAAAGAGGATCAAAGCGCATTCTTTTCCTGAGTTACTCCAGCCCTGGTATAGCAAGTTCACTCAAATTTAATGAGTTTCTCTTCATCCCTTTCTGCCCGAGCACCCCGGTAGCCATGGCTGGTTCAATTGCTGGCGGTAGTAAGCCATAAAGTGTCTCAGGCATAACATGCATAACCCATGATCCTGGGTATCAACTTATCAACAAAAGAAGCCACAAAACATCACAATACCATACCAATTGACACAAACATCTCTCTGATGCTCCACTTGCGCTGAAACACACTCCACTTCCACGATACATCCGAATGCATCACTTGTCACTGGATCCTTTTTCTACCCTCGCTGGCTCTTCCAGTGCACCTTCAGCCTGCAACAGCTGCAGAATCCCAAGAAGGGTGCCTGTGCATCATAGCATTGTCATAGTCTAAATATATCTAAATATGTCTAATTAACGTAATAAATGAATATAAATAATAGTAAATAGTTAAATAAGGTCAAACAGTCACACGGTTTCTGTTCCTCCCGTTGGTTCAATTGGAAGACTGAAATTCCACAAGTGCCGCATTGTGTTGCACTCTATCCACTCCGTCTGTAAAACATACCGCGCAGATTGAGTCTGCAAGAAACTTGCAGTCTCATCTGCTCCATGATCCTTTTGCCTGATGCGTCAGGTTGTGCCTTTGTGTAGCCAGCTCGGCGCAGTGCTGCTTCTTGTACTGACTGCCTTGGTCTTGGTTTGAATCACCAAAATCTCAAGGATTAAAGGATGTCAATCTATGAGATTTCCTTGAGATTTTATGTCTTCCCACTTTTGGTTGCTGATACTTTTAGATCCACCATGATACACCCGTCAAGACACCCGTGACCAGGTCATCCTGTCCCTGATGTCCCTGGGTCTCTGACTTGGTGAATGGTCGATCCACTATCCAGACCTCGAAAATTCTCAACACTTCTGTGACTTCTGTGTTGAAGCAGCAGCTAAAAACCAGACATCATTGCAGTCACTGCAGCCAGGTGACATTCATTGCCACCTGGCAGTGTGGCTTCCAATGGCTTCCAGCTGCTTGGGACATGGATCCAAGGAGTCTGTGCTTCGTTCGGAATAAGAACCATCCATCAAAATCATGGAGCTACGGCCTTCTCCACATGCAAGGGAGGTTCCCCCTGCGTGCCAAATGGGCGAATGGGCCACATTCAAAACATCCAATATGGCCCAACTGTTGGTATCACGAGAAGATTGGAAGATGACGGCATATTTATGATTATTTATGCACATTTCGAATCATTTCGATCAATTTTTCAATGTGCCGCGAAACCAATCTGTTCTTTGCCGTGCCTCATGTAAAGAGCATGGGTCAGGTTCCATTAAGCCCTCAGACTCCGCAGGCGTTACATGAAACCCGCATGGGAGTGTACCTAATGAAACTTGAAGATTTCTACAAACTAGGGAAGATCCACAAATATATTCAAATAATATCAAATATCAGTCTCATTTCTTCTCTCCATCCTTGGCTCAGAATTTTCAGGCACTGGACTTTCAACATGAACACTTTTGTTCCAGCTTGAACTCTGCAATATCTGCGATATCTGCGATATCTGCGATCACGCCTTTGCTCAACTGCCTCTGAATTTCACTCACCTAGAGAACCTGCAAAAGGCTAAAAGGCTAACGAACAATCCCGAGAAGCAGGCAGTTCCATCCTTTGGTTTGCAGTTGTCCCACAGCACGGCCGTGCCGGCCTCATTGCCGTGCTGCCAATGGTGGGAAAGCAAGCAAGCAAAGGAACAGGAAAGAAGGCGAGCTACGATGAAATTGTTTTTGTTGCGGTCCTATCGTGTTCCCATCGCTTCTAAGATCTTGTATGTAAATCTTGTACATGTACTTCAAGGTGCTCCCTGGATTGCAAGATGTCTGACCTGCAAACAGTCCTTAAGGGGATAACATAGGTGCTCCATCTAGTGCTACATTCTCAGTGACGAGTTTTTCCAAGAGAGCGACACCAGAATGAGGATGCTTCCCCGACCACTTTCTAGGCTGCCGCTCTCAAAGCGCTCTGAGTCTTTGGCTTTTGGCAAGATCCGCAACTCCAAGAGTGGGAAGTGCAAATGTCCGCCGCCATCGGACTGCAGCGACCGTCGGGGAAAAAATTGTGCGATGGCGGAGTTAGAAGCAGCCTCTTGGTATCCAGAACAGCCCTACAAGCCGCAGCAAGCCACAGCAAGCCACACAGCATGTCTTGCCTCTGGAACACTTGACCTGAGTCGCTCGGACATAGAGTCTCCATGGGGTCGTACCCACTTGCAACTTATGTTTCGGGACAACCTAGCCCATTGAGTCTCATAATTATCACTCATATCTACCCAAGCTTCGAAAGAGGACATAAGTTTCCCAAAGGAGAAGCCAAGTGACACAAAGACCAGAAGGGTTTGCATGCGCTGCTCACCATTGAATGACCCGAGCCTGGACTGAAGGCTTTACGCTCTGCAGAATGTCGGTGCCACCGTAGGATACCGTAGGTGTTAATTACGCTTCAATGCTTCAATGCTGCAACAGTGCAAACGACTCAACACAACACTATGACATACGATGACATCATACATTTGACTCCAGGTGCAGAATGAAGGTATAGAGTGGCGCAAATGTTTGGAATCGCTGGGTGCCACTAAAAATGACAAGTGGTGGAATGCCCAAACAAAATGTCAAGGGTGGCTTCCACAATCAGATCCCCAGGATTACAAAGATGGCAATGACGAGAAACAGCAACGATGATAACAACAAGAAATCCCGCTTCAATCTGCCTGTCCGGCTCCTGGTGGGTGTCCAGATGCGCCCTGAACCGTCAAATCACTCTTCAGTGTTGAACTGTCCCAGCTCACCAAAACAAAATAGTTTTGTGGCATTTTGCGTGGCAGCTTGTCTCAAGAATTTAGGGAGCATCTGCTGACTCCCTGCTCCTTTCCATCACTTCCCTCCTTTTTGGAATCCTCTACGCTTAGGAACAGCTATAGGATCGTTGCCCTCTAGACTATCGAAGAGCAGAAGAGTCCAGGGAGGTTCACAGTTTAAGTCAGTTTGTTGAAATATGATGAAATATGTTGGTAGAACACCGTAGGACGAGTGCCGGCTGTGGCATACTGTGGCACAATGACTGACAAAGGTGCACTTCAGAGTTCAAAAGCCGCCTGTAGTACTGGCCAGGAGTGTACTTTACCAGCTGCAGAGGCTCAATGTATTCTGCCTCCATGGCAAGAAGTCATCAAAATCTCACAATGTAAGTCTTCACGGTCAGATCTGCTGTCGCTCAACAATTCTTTTCGAACGCTTCCGCAGCAAACAATGACTCCTTGGAAGGGGCGGTCACGATTTTGAAAGCACAGAGATGGAAAACAAAGTATCTTCTGGAGTAACAAACATGGAACATGTAAGATCATAACTGGTCCCTGCCACACCCTCCTTTCTACACGTTTACTGGAATACAAACACATGAACAACTGGAGTACTCGACAGCAAATGCACACAGTGAACTTCTAATTAAACCCAAACCTTCAGCCAATGAAGCCAACGTCTCCACAGCAACCATGCGTCAGGCCCACCGCGCAGCACGGGACAAGAGCCCAAGATCTTGCAAGGCAAAGCTGATGACCATGGCCTTCATGGCTTTATTGCCAAAGCCTTTTGAACTCACTGTGGACTCTCAGCGAAAAATTCAAGTAGTCCTCTGTTGTGTTCAACCCTTGTGGATAAAACACATAAAACCGTTTCTGAGGTATGTAACGTAGTTTCTCTTTTTCGTGCACAATCTCACCGTGGTGCGCACGAATCAAATAAACCGCTTGACTGCTTCACATAGTATGACATAGCACTGCAAGCAAAGTCACCAAGGATACGAAGAACAAGGACAGCAAAAGGACGAGCTGTCTCCTGACAATCTCTTTCTCTCAGTTTCAACCGTGCAACATCTATATATGGAACATGTTCGCTTCTTGTGGGAAAACATCGCAGACTGTTTCTGCTCCATTCGGTCCACAAATAGGTCTGACAGCTGGCATGTGTCAGTGGCTTTGTATGATTCTTCCTAAATTATGCCAACTCACCTCAGGTGGAAACCTCTCTTCACATGATGCAGTTTGGAGCAGTGGAGCCTTGATTTGTTTTGCTGAGCAAGTGCCATCAGCGGCAAAGCGCAGCCCCAAAGCAAAGTCACAGGATAGGCTCCTTCAGGGAACCAACCGTGAGCAACCTGTGGGTTTGGGGATGTTTGGGGTGACTTAATTCCTAATATAAACGTTGCAGTGCTCTAGAATGGAGAAGCTGCATTCTGAAGAGCAAGAGGGAATCATACTGACAAGCCAACTAAAACCAAATAACTTCATTGTAATTCAAAGACTCCCCCTTTTTACACCTGCAAAATCGATCGCAGCAAAGAACGCACCCTTGGGTGCAAGAGCAGGTGTCAAGACACAAAAGCTGTAAGATGCTAAGGCAGCGCGCGGCTTGGCATCACCTTAGGACTTGCAATCACTTTTGAAAGGCGGAAAGATGCAAACACACCCAACACTTGACAACTTGACAACAAAAGTCAACAGTTTTCATTGGTTTGCAGAACCTTGAAGATGCTCACTGATTCACACAATGTAAACCTGTGCCAAACAATCCAAAGACATACTGAATTCTGCTGAGATGCCACAGAAAGATCTCAAAGCCAAATTGGTTCCCAGGATCGTTGTGAGGACGGCAAAGCAACCTCGAGGCATCCGATCTACTTCGAGACATCAAAATTCGTATCAAATCTTCCATTGAACCTCCTCAGCGCTTCAAGTTTTACACTTTACCCCGCCGAGGAGAAAAACTCTCCCAACATCTCCCAACGGTAGCTCAATGCAATCCAGCGGTAGGTCAAGAAACTACATTCTTTTTGGGTGATGATCAGGCTGGAGGGTCAGTGCTTCTAGGATGAACAAATAAATGATGTGATCTGTGAGACATCCCAAAACCAAAACCTTTGCTTGGTAGTAGTCATGCTCATGGACAATGAGGTGAGGAATGCGAGCAATCATAGGAATTCCAATTCTAAATTCCTTCACCCAAAAATTGATTTTGCACGTCTTCATGGTAAGTGCATGTTGATCTAGACGTTCCAAGACACCCAGTGCAAGTACTGCGGAAGAAACTGGGCCATTCTGTCCTTGGAACAGATTAAAGATATCAAATGGCATCCGAAAACAGCCCAATTTCAGACAAATGTATGTAAAGTTGATTCAATCTTGCAGCTTTGGAATATTTTGGAATCATGGGCCAATACAGTTCTTCCATGTTCAGCATGGTTGAGCCATGCGGCCATGCGCAAACTTTCCAAGCAGTCAACAAACAAACAGGAAACAGCAGGAAAGAAGTGCATAATCAGAACACAGATGCATCGAGAGTCCAAGAAGAAGTGCCACTGGATCCTCTCGAAGTCCACCATGAAACGGGACCAACGCCAAGCCTAGGGCCGACCAAGTTGATTCCAGAAGCAGCAGCAAAGCCTTGGAGAAGTCATGGAATGTGCATTCGGAGGCATAACACGTTTCCGGGAACATGCTCTGAAACACTAAAGTGCAAACATCAAAAACGACTCAGAAAATCTCTTGAAAACAAACAATATCTTGTATAAATATACATATTATATGCAGTAACATATACGTAATATAGTTATTATATGTTTCAATATAAATCAGACGTTCAAAATTTGACAAGGTGATGCGTGGTGTTTGAATCCACTTTGTCACCAGCGTCCAAGGGACCGAGCCGACGAAAATCGCTCGTTTGATCCGTCTGCGCTTCAGCTGCAGTATGGAAGCTATGCTTGGTGTCACTTCCAGGTAGACAAAGAGCTGCAAAATGCTTGGTCTCAGATGAGTGAGATAGAAATGGATAGAGAAATACATATTGTATGTGCCGAAATACATATCATATCATATCATATCATATCATAATCATAATAATAATAATCATAATCATATCATATCATATCATATCATATATATATAAATCATTATATATCATTATATGTCGTATAATATGAATATGAGCTAAATATGATAGAATGGGATTGCTGATGACATGACATCTGTAGATTGGCCATGGAAAGAACCCTGCACCAATGTCATTGAAAACCGGATTTGATGAATCCTGTATGACAGTATGAATGCTGTATTCTCGCACGTGATGGACAGTTTGTGACATCTGTGGTGCCGGGGCGCAAAGATCTGGCGCAGCTGTGCCTTAGTCGCATGGCAATGGCGATCAGTGGCGATCAATACGGGGCAAACTCCTGCATTTGCATGCTGGCAAGTTTTTCAAGTTTGCATCAGTCCACATCTTCATAAATGTTGATATGATAGCCAATAGCTTTGTAACCTTTGGCTTCAAGCCAGTATTGCTGTGGCAAACGTGCCAAGTCCCATCCAACCTTTGTCGGAACAAATTGATCCCTGTATGGGTTTGTCTGAAAATGCTGTGGTATCCTGGTATACCCCAGTTTACATGTGGACAATCAAAGGGTGATATGATGATTGACTAGTGGATTCGAGGGGCATTGCATCTTCAGACCCATATCTACCACGAGTTTTCCGCAGCTGAGTGACCAGTCAGTTCGTGCCAAGCGATGCCATTGAGCCAACGGCAGGCCAGTGCCAAAGACCACAAGGCTTGCAACCACGAAGCCCAACCTGTGGCTGACAGCAACTGCTGGCGGTTCATTGCAGTTACTTACCCCATCTTATGCCTGTCATACCGTCCCAATGTCACTGTTGCAAAGAGACTTGAATATCTTCTGACACACACACACACAGAGAGGGAGAGAGAGAGACACACGTAACAGTACGTAAGCAAAAACAAGCGATAAGCAAATATCATATCAGTGAATATATTTATACATATTATAATTCATATATATTCTATGTCTGATTATGTCTGTGTATATCAGGTATTGTGATATGTTAAAAAAGCGACTTTACATCCGAACACATGGGTCAGGCAACTCAGGACATCACCGAGCCACGTTAAACAACCATTGATTGCAGCTGTGCGGGTTGTAGGACTATTCCAAGTGAGGATTGCCAACAGCAAAGCAAGTAGTGCACCTTGGACCAAGCGTCGAGGGGGTCAAGTTCGGGTCAAGTGATGTCAAGTGACTGTTGGATATTGTTGGCATTCCTGCTTTCAAAATCTGCGCCCAAACATGTGCGTTTCGAGATTTAGTCAGTTCACCTTATCCATGAACATACAGTAGATAGATCCTGCCTGAATGGGCAAATCTGCACCTCCCTCTGTCCAAAACGCGGGAACCCGGCACCCGTGCACCAATTTAGCTCGAGAGAAGTTACAGTAACAAGCAAATCACATCAATTATGTGGTACTATGTGGTACTGGTATCTGCAGGTCATATCTTTATGGACCCGTAATTATCATCCCATATCATCCCCTATCCATTTCTTTCCTGCCGACATACGAACACAGGGCTGCGGCCAGCCCGTCAGCGTGGAGAAGAGGGCACCAGCTTCGGCATATTGGGACACCAAGGTGGTCATCATCAACAGCAGGAATAACCCCGAGACGACGACTTTACCTTTTGAGTCATGGGTCATGGCTCAGGATGTTTGGAGAAGTTATTCTGCTCAGAAAGATTATATCATAGACATATGTATACATAATACTGGTATATATGTATATATATATACATATTTACAGTTACATACATAAATATACATATATTTATATATATATACACATTATTATCCTATCCATTCCTAATAGTGAGAGATTATTGGATGATATTGGAAGTATGAACTGTCCCGGAAGGAGGCCGCGAAAAAATCAAACGGTCAAAGTCTGATTGCTTTTAGAGGAAGGTCGAAATTTTCAAAGTAACTCCAAGGATTTCGCGCTTTAAAAACCGCCTGCATTGTGTTCAGAACACAATCAGCTGGGACATCTAAAGGCTGGGGCGACTAAATATATTGCACAGAACATCACAGGACGGACTATTCTTGAGATATTTTTAGATAAGCACGTTCAGGTTTCACAAGACTACATGGTTGTCATGGCCATTTCAAGCTATGGAGACATTTAGCGCCTGGATGCGCCTGGAGATCCCACGGTCCAAGTCACCCTTAGTACCCAGCCTGCGTTCCGCTGCAACGGCGAAGCTCACCTCAGGTCCAGCTATGGTCTCAGAACTACCAACTTGAACTCCTACCCGTGCAGCCAGAAGTATCACGGCTGCCGTAAGATTCCAGAATCATGATGAGCAACGAAACCATCTTGATCATCTTGAAACATGTGGCGGCAAGATCAGAGGAACAAACCGAAAAAGGTGGCACTTCTGAAACCAAAACAATGACGGCAAAACACCACGTCGCTTTTTACGGTTAGCAATGGAGATATGCACAAAAAATCGCTCACAATCTCTTGACTGGGACGCTGAAAGTTTCAAATCAATTGTCTCAAGGGGATCAACCAAGGGCCAAATCAAGGTGCTTCGGTCTCGGATGTGTTGGATGTCTCAGATGTCTTGGACTTCGACTCATCAACCAGTAAGTCTGTCGCCACTTGAGCCTGTCAAGAGCGAGATGCAGCTAAAATCAATTAAAATCAGCTAAATAGATCTGAATAGTTCTAAATAGATCTAAATAGTTCTAAATAGTAGTTGATCGCAGAAAACGGATGAAACTTGCACTTGTAGCACACTCCATACGCCTGAGGAACCTTGGAAGCCTACTCAACTCCTGTCGGAACTCCAAATTACCAAGGTCATCCAAGGTCTGCATTGTGGCCGCTGGGTCCAAAGGCAAAAGTATTTGACAATGCCACTTCCCCGTGTCAGTATTGGGTATCAGCCCTGGATTCCTGCACAAAGAGCATAGCCCAAGACAGCAGCATCACAACCAAGGATGGCACCTGATCTTCGATTGACTCTGCCAGACTCTGCCATGCTTCAGTCTAAATTGAGCCATGCTGGAAACCTTGATAGATTCTTAGGTCGTAAGAACATGCTTACGCACATGCTTGCGCATCCTTACGCTATTGGGGGTTTCTCTTACGCGGGGATCTGGGCTTTCTATGGGCTTACGCAAGGCTTACGCGAAAGTAAGTCACCACAAAGTCATCTTTTTTCGTGACACGTTCCTTACGCGGCCTTTTTTGCAACAGAGTATTTCAGTGCGTCATTCATCATTTGTCGAATCCGAAAATGAAGATGTTGAAGAAGAGGATGTTGAGGACGAGCCTGAACCGTCAGCTTTCAATGTTGCCTGTTGCGGTCGACGCTTTCGAGCCTGCTTTTCGGGGCTTACGGGGCCATTCGGGCCATGGGGCGACGTTTCGGCGCCATGGGGCAACTGTTTCTTTCATTCTTTAGCCAAAAGGTGCTTTTCAAGCATGCCTTACGCAGGCTTACGCACAACATTCAAAGCCAAAAACCTTGCGCAGCTCTTACGCCACTGCAGTTTTGGCTTACGCGAAGCCACCTTATGACCGTCCCCTTTCTCACCAATACATAAAGAGTTTATAGCGCAGCTCAATTGACAAACAGAACTGACAGTATGATCATGTATGATCCATCTTAGTTACTCCATGCGAACTAGCCACCTGGCTCTACGTCACTTGTGTGCAGTTGTGCAGCCAAAGTGCGAAACCAGACGGTGCAGTTGTGTAGGGCAATGCCAGGAAACCACCTCCTATGGCTGTTCCGGTCACCTGGAGAACCGCAAGCCGCAAGCAGCTTCCAGTGTCAATGACACGATCAAACTCAAATTGGCTGAGACACAAGGACGGCTGCCGATGTGTCGCGTGCATCCCAGGAGCTTCTAGCTTTGGCCGCTGCTGCTCCGCTCTCTCCTCATCGTTGTGAACATGCACGGAAATATTGCTGCCATTTGATACCTGAATGTGTATATATATATATATGTATGTATGTATGTATGTATATATGTATGTAGACACATACATATATATATATATATATTATATTGGCAGTGATCCGTCTTTGACATAAGTAGTGCAGTCTTGAAAGAGTTTGCTGTCAAGTCTCAGCAGCTTTGAGAGCTGATGCCATCCTTGCCCTGGAGGGGAACTTTGAGCTTGCTCGAAAAACATGTGAGGATAGGCGACACCAAACATATTCTATCATTTATATATAGACCCCTGACTCATTTAAACACATTTCAAACACATTCAAGGAAAATGGAGCCTCGCACGGGATAAATCCTGCTCCTGCAGTGAAGAGCAGAGCTAGCGACTTGGGTCAACATATTCAACATGAATAAACGATAATAAAGGTGCGGCCAGAGTCGACATCCTTTATTCACGCAAGTGCAACATGTTGGGCATCAGGTCCTTGGATCAGGAAGTGAAGCTCCGCATCGGTGCACGATCCCAACCTGGTCGGTGCATGGATGCTTCTCCAAACAGCATCACCACTTGGGGACAAGCGATTCAGGTCTCGTAGGCTAGGTATGGCATCAAAAATAATTGAAACATACATTGAGACAATATCAACACATACAGTATGAAATGTATGAATCAAATTGAATCAGCTCCACAGCCCCGGGAATCAGGTGCCATCAGGATGTTTTCTTGACTGTTTTGCTTCATTTTGTTTCCATGCTGTCTGAGTTCAACAGCACAGGCCTGGCTTGGAAAAGCCCAAGTGAGCGAGCATGGCCGTGTCACAGCAGGGCGCATCTTTGGCCACACTGCTGGTGCAGGTTGCTCTTGGTGAGATGGTGGGAATTATGTTGGCACATGCATGCTACATATATTCATATATATATATGTAAATGTATACATATATATATTATAATTACACAATTATATACACACCATTATATGTCTGGATGAGTCTAATTCAATTTTCATGATTCACAGTCTGAACCTGGTGTTCAAAGCTAGGTAGAAGACTCTTGAAAAACCGGGTACAGAAGCTCGTCACATAGAAGAACACACGGAGCTTGCAAGCAAAGATGAAACATCCCTTGGTTCGCTGGGTGTATTCAAGATTACCCAAGTGTCTCATTGTGTGCATTCAACATCATGCAGCCTCCACACACATACCCGTCATGCTTAAGCGTAAATTTGCACCCTGAAATCCATTCACAATGCCAATTCTTCGTTCCTTTGAGCCGAATCAAGCGCACCCACAGAGGACTGAGCCGAACCTGCAAGACTCTGAACAAACCAAGAAACTCAACCAAGTACGTTGCGGATGTTTGGTCAAATGCAGAAAAGGTCCATCTGTTCCTTCGGCGTTTAGCAGATTGCAAATGAGGTGAAACAGTGCAATTGGCTGATATTCGCAGTGCGTTGGCCTCCAAATCCAAAACAGACGCGCATCGTTCCGTTGCTTCTTGGGCGTAAAGCAGCTCCACCTTTGCAGCAGCCAAATGGGCCATACACCAGCTGTCCAGCAATCTTCTGAGCTTGCAAAATCTAAAAGCATCCTAGTCCAACAGCTTCACACATGACTGTGTAATTGCCGCAGATACCTTTCATTTACTGTATTACATAGTATTAAAGATACTTGAATGCCTCTGCTAACAATTAATAATAATAATAGTAATAATAATAATAATATATATATATATTATATATAATATATATAATATGATATAATATAATGTAACATAATATATTATATTATAATATAATATAATATATTATAATATAATATAATATAATAATAAAAATAATAATACGTATAATATTAATATACTATAAGCTAATCTATTTTAATTCTGATATGTCGTGCCTCATCAAGACTGTCCCCCAGGAGCGGCCAACGCATCGCGCAGGAATGGGAGGTACGTCGACCATCCTGAACCACCTGGCCACAGTGAATCCATCAGCTACACTGCAAACCCCTATTGGGTTCTGCAAAACACCGGTCAAGCTGCGCACAGCTTAATGCCATGGTTAAGCTGACCGAAAGATGGTGGGGTGAAAATGTGGAATGATCTGGGAATCCGGTCAGCAAAGTTTGTCCACTTCAGAACGATGGTTCGTTTTTGTAAGGTCTTGAAGATTTATTGGTATGTCTTCAATATTTCTTGGATTTCTTGTATGTTCTTGTATGTTCTTGCGCTTTTAAATTCGTACTATCTTCTTTTTGCGTATTCTCATGAATTATGTCACGTCCGCCTGGCCAAGGCGATCCTTTTGCAACGACGGCTGAAAGCCCTGGCGCTCCTGCAATGCCGGAGCGAGGCGGTGCCGTTTGGCTCTCCAACAGGCTGGAAAAAAAGTCAATCATGTCCCCAAAGATGTCCCAAAGATGTCCCTGCCTCACATAAGTGCAACAAACGTTTCAGCTCGTGCTCGTGAAAGAGTCCTAGTGCTAGGCAACTCCACCATTGGTGATGGGATGGACATGAAAATCATGAAGTTCGAAGCAAGACGCTCCAGTTTTTGCTCCAGTATGCTGCCGACATGATCTGTTCAGCACCTGATCGACCTGCCTTCACGTGGCCCATTGGTCAGTCATCTCCTGTCCCCGTCCCGGCCATCAACAACCGTGCCTTCCACCAGGCACACCTTCAGCTCCTGCAAACTCATGGTTTTGCGTACCATACGAAATTACAAACGTTCAAAGACAACTATGAACAAGGGGAAAAAAACTCGTTTCTTCCTAGCAACAGCTTGTTCACCGTGCACACTGACACATAAGAAAGCTAGCGATCCAACTGTGTGACAGTAGCAAGGACGTTGTTGTAAATTAAGAATGTGTCCATGATAGAATATGCAATGCAAGGAAGGACTCAATTTAGAGGAGGTGAACATGCAGCACACATTCCCACACGCGTTCACACCTTAGTTCTTACAATTCTTTGCAAAATCCATCTTTGATATTCTGTCATACTACAAACATCTAAAGACTAATTGTGTGTTTACAAACCTGTGTGATCATGTTTGATCTACACTACACTCAGGAGGCACTTGAGATGCAAGTTGAATATGGAGCGCTCTTCTGGCAAAGTCCGTAGAGATGTTCCGAACATGAAGCCAAGAAATGAGAGCAAGCAACGGCGTTAGTGAACAACTGCAAGTTTTTTTCTAGTGAAGCACAACGATGTGGAGAGCTGGACTTGGCATTTGGTCCCAGGTCAAGAAGCGGTTCCCCCTCAAAGAAACAATGACACTGGCAGGGTACAAGTATCGCTGCAACAGTTTACTGAATGTTTAGGACATTTCAGGACTTATTTGATTCATGTGTTTCCCATCATGCAAAGCACACTCACCAGAATGCAACATACCTTGACAGGTACTACATGGATTTAGTTGCAACTACAAGGAGAAAAGGATACGGGAAATATATGGAAAATATATCATACTCATAATATCTCATAAGTAGAATTCATATTTTTGTAATATGTATATATAGTATGTGATTTCTGACTCCGCTATCAAACACAGAATTCAAGCGTTCTAGGACTCAAATTTAACACCCATTTCTCCTCGGGCTCAGTAAGGCGTCGAAAGACCACAGATCGGTCTCGAACTTGTCGCACATCGAAGGGCTCTGGTAATGGCATAGACTTGCCATGACGCAACACCTGCGAGCTGCAGCAAGGGACCTAGAATGAATGTCACGAACATGCTGAGTCCCACTGCACCATAAGCAGCCCGGTTCAAGATGTTTCAACCTTCTTTGGGCCTTCTGACCTTGTTCAATTCAAACCGCAAAACATTTCTGCTGAAACAACATTCATCATAGTTCAATAGTGAAACCAAAATCGACCAAATGTTTTTGCATGGTTTTGCATCCTTTGATTGAAACACATACGCGCGCACACACAGATATCTGATGATATCTAAACACATCTGTGCCTGCCCCCGCTGGCCATTTCGAACCTCACAGGGGGAACCAAGGCAGCAGCAATACTGTAAGGAAGGGCCCAAATCCTGAACACATACAATGGCAATCCTCACTGACAAACGCAGCATCAAAAAATAAATGAAAAAAAAGGAACACAACTGCAATTTACAGTATCATGTTTGCTCTTTTTGTTGCGGTGCATTCTTTGCAGTTGCACTTTCCTTTTTTTTATTTTTGTTTTATACCTTCTCTCTGCATTCTTTTGTAGTTCTCTGTTGTGCATTTAAAGTGGGGTGGGTCCACCAGGCCTTCTATACTGTCTTTCTAGTGCTACTGAAGGAACCAATCCAATGAAGCACTGTGTGGAACAAATTCGCAGAAAAAGGACACGCTGTGTTTTTTTTTGGAACAGGGTTCAAATCGGGAAAAACAAATCATACACTCAAGATTGAGATTTGGAAATTGACTGTACAACTGGATAAGAGATGCAACTGCACATTTGGTTTTGCTTTTGACGAGCTGCAAACCACTATGTCACTATGGTGTTCCTGGAATGAACGGATATCATATCAACCGATTCCAAAGTGTTGCGCTGCTGGTTGGCCGGTCTTGTTTGGCATGGTTCAACATGGTTCAACAACGCTAAGCTATGCTGAGTGACATCGAAGCCACCCTTCATCTCCGCATCCCACCAGTCATACAAAGGACGGGGAGTTTTTTCAAGCAATCCACCTGAGCCCCAAAAACGGTCAAAAAAAACGGTGTTAGCGGTTGATTGTGTTAGATTCAAGTGGTTTGATATCACGTTGCGCTGTATGTGTACAAATAGAACCCGCGCAAAGCGGATGGCGGAAGTTTCCAGGTTTAAGAAGTGTAACCTTACAGGATCCAAAAAGAAGGTTTGCCTACAGGAGCTGCGGCAGACTTCCATGCTCTTTTCCGGGACTTCTGACCCCTGGTGGCAAATTATGAACTCTTCCAACGACTTCTCACCTCTTGTCAACTCTTTTCAATGATCTTCATTTCTATGCACATCTTCTTGACTCTCCTCAACTCTCTTTTCATCTCGCTCTTCTCCTCTCCATGCACTCCTTTCAACTCGTGTTGGCTCACCTCACCTCAGTTCCACCTGTCCATTTTTTTCTCAGCCCAGTCGAAGTGACACAGTTGCAAACTTTCTTGTTCAGGCCAATCGAATTGCCTTTCCATTCGATCATGGTTTCAGCATTCGATTGTGTTATCATTCGCGTGTCATGTGCTATCATTCAATCCTACTGGACTGTCGACTGTTGCCTGTCGGTGCAACGTTCATGCATGTTTGGGCCGCAGCCAGATCACAGCCAGATCGCGTCTGTCTAGGGCTCGGCCAAACATGCCGTCTAAACATGCCAGGACGACAAGAGTGAAGCTTTCACACAAAGAGCACATGGCAAACTGTTACACAGAGGAACTTGTACAGAAAGAATAGGTTTTACACAGAGAAGCGTTTACACAGAGAAAGTGTTACACAGAGAAAGCTTTCATACAAAGGAACCTTTAGACAAAGACAGCTTCAAACCAAGCAATGTTTTACACACAGAAGCTTTTACGCAAAGCAGCTCTTACACAGAGAAGCTATTACACAGAGCAAGTTTGTACACAGAGAGGCTGTTGCACAGAGATGCTTTTACACAGATAACCTGGTATCCTGAAAAGCTTTTACAAAGAAAGCTTTGCCACAGAGAAGCTGTTACACAGAGATAGCGTGTACACAGAGCCAGCTTTTACACAAGGAAAGCTCTTACACAGAGAAGCTTTTTTACCTCAATGAAGCCCTCACACAGAGAAACTTTTACACAGAAAAGTGTGACACAAAGAAGCTGTTACACAGAGATAGCGTTTACACAGGGCCGGCTTTTACACAAGGAAAGCTTTCACAGACAGACAAGCTTTTTTTACACAAGGAAGCCTTTACACAGAGAAGCTTTTACGCAGAGAACCTTTTATACAGAAAAACTTGTACACAGAGCAGCTTACTCAATTTTCACCTCCAAAACCAGATCTCGACGCCCAAGCGGAAAAACGACGGTTTTGAAGCACTGTTTAAAAGGAATTTTAAAAGGAAAATCATCAACACCCAAAATGAAAAAACTGTTGCCAAAGCACCATTCGCCACTTTCATGCGCCCATGACAATGCGATTTAGGACTCTCAGCTGCAAAACACAATTGTATCGCGCACGCGGCCGCAGCAGCGAGGAAACTTGACGCAGCCATTCCACGCGATCTGCAGAGACTGACTTACAAAACACAAAAGAATTACGCACAATGGCTACACAAATTGCAGCTCCAAAACCAGATGGATCTCGACGCCCACACAGAAAAACGACGATTTTGAAGCACTTTTTAAAAGGAATTTTAAAAAGAAAATCATCAACACCCAAAAATGAAAAAACACAAAGCAACTGTTGCCAAAGCACCATTCGCCACTTTCATGCACACATTGCAATGCGATTTAAGACTCTCAGCTGCAAAACTCAATAGTATCACGCACGCAGCCGCAGCAGCGAGGAACCTTGACGCAGCCATTCCAATACGATCTGCAGAGACTGAGTTGCTAAATGCAATACAATTACACACAATGGCTACACAAATTGCAGCTCGAAAACCGGATCGACGCCCACGCACACAAACGACGATTTTCAAGCACTTTTTCAAAGAAATTTTAAAGGAAAATCATCAGCGCGAAAATGGAGAAAAACTTGCTGCCAAAGCACAATTCGCAACTTTCACGCAACCACTACAATACGATTTACGACAGGGACTTGCAAAACAAAATCAGAATCGCAAGACTGCACTGGAGAACAAGTACCCTTCGAGAAACCTTGGCGCAGCCATCCCACTGCTATCTGCACAGACTGGATTGCACAACACAAAAGAATTGCAACACACTATTGTAGAACACATCGCTTCGATACACCAGTTCCAATGCACAACGTGTCGTAACATGCAAAACACAATAGCACAGTATCAACAAAAAACAGAAAAAGTCACCTGGAACCATCAGTTCCACTGCACGCGCAGTTCGAGACAGATTCGACGGCAAAGCAACGACGCCCGGCAACCGTTGCGCAAGCGAGCCAACTTTTCTCCGCAACGGACGCTCTGTTTACCCGAAAAAACACAATGTTTCGTGCAAATCCTAACATTCAAATCGCATCCATGATGTAGCAGTTCCAATGCGATCTGCCAACAGAGACTTGCAAACCACAAACAGAATCGCAAGGCTCTACTGCAGACCAAGTACCATTCCAGCAGCCTTGGCGAAGCCATGCCACTGCGATCTGCACAAACTGAATTTCACAACACAAAAGAATTGCAACACAATACTGTAGAATACATTGCTTCGATACACCAGTTCCCATGCACAACGTGTCGCAACACATGCAAAACACAATAATAGCAGTGGCACAGCATCAACAAAGAAGAGAAAAGTCACCTCGAAACATCAGTTCCACTGCGCGTGCAGTTCGAGACAGATTCGACGTCAAAGCGACGTCGCCCGCAACCGTCGCGCAAGCGAGCCAACTTTTCTCCGCAACGGACGCCCTGTTTACCCGAAAAAACGGCATGTAACATGCAAATCGCATCCATGATGTAGCAGTTCCAATGCGATCTGCCAACAGAGACTTGCAAACCACAAACAGAATCGCAAGGCTCTACTGCAGACGATGTACCATTCCAGCAGCCTTGGCGAAGCCATGCCACTGCGATCTGCACAAGCTGAATTGCACAACACAAAAGAATTGCAACACAATACTGTAGAACACATCGCTTTGATACACCAGTTCCCATGCACAACGTGTCGCAACACATGCAAAACACAATAATAGCAGTGGCACAGCATCAACAAAGAAGAGAAAAGTCACCTCGAAACATCAGTTCCACTGCGCGTGCAGTTCGAGACAGATTCGACGTCAAAGCGACGTCGCCCGCAACCGTCGCGCAAGCGAGCCAACTTTTCTTCTCAATGGATGCTTCGTCTACCCGACAAAGCACAATGTTTCGTGCAAATCCTAACATTCAAATCGCATCCATGGTGTAGCAGTTCCAATGCGATCTGCCAATGACTTGCAAACCACAATCAGAATCGTAACTTCTCTGCTCTACTCTGCTCTACTTCTACCTCTACTCTTCTCTTCTCTAGTTTTCTCTACTCTACCTGTACTCTACCCCTAGTCTACCTCTACTACCTCTACTACGAGTACCTCTTCTGGACACAATCATCTCTGGGATCTAATGAGATCTAATGAGTATGTACGCACATGCCAACTGGACACAATAATCTCTGAGCTAGTGAGAATGTGAGTTCATGATCTCTTAAGGCACATGCCAACTGGACACAATGATCTCTCGGCTGGTGAGAATGTGACGTCATAATCTCTTAAGGCACATGCCAACTGGGCACAATGATCTCTGGGCTAGTGAGCATGTGACTTCATGATCTCTTAAGGCACATGCCAACTGGACACAATGATCTCTGGGCTAGTGAGAATAAAACAATCCGTAACTCGGAGTTTCCTCCATGAAACCTCCTTTGATAAGGATGAGAGCATGATATACTATAATAAATATTAGCCCAGCTTTGCAACCCAACAGCGAAAAGTTCCAGCAAGGTTCCAGGCCAGGACTGTTCCGGATTTTCGGGGCGTGCATTTTCGTGTCACGTCCCCGGCCCCAGAGATTGAAACCCAACAGATTCGTTGTTGGGAATTAAATATCTGCCAAATCACTGGCGTGCCGATCTTGTTCCACGAACTGCCGCCACTTGTCCAAGCCAATGGTAACTTGCCTGCAAGTGTCCATGCAAGAGTGCAACTGCAATGGCACTTAGCAAGTCAGCACTGCATATTTACAAGTACAAATTAATGAATCACGTCAAATTATCTTATCGTATACAGTAATTCTATGATCTAATCATGATTGCCTCTAGATATAACAATGCCGTTCCCAAGCTGCCTCAAGAAGCGAGCTTCCTCTGCACGATGGCTACCTGAGGAGACGTACACTTATTATCACTTACTGTATTACTTATTATATACATCTTATTACTAATATTACTAGTGTTGAAACAAACAATCTCAAATTCTGATTGGTTGCTTGGCACCCTTGTAGACGGAATGAGGCTTCAGTTTACTCTTTCGAAACACGGTCTCTGGCCGAGCCACTCCTATCATAGCGAGATGGGTCCGCAGGGTACCAAAGCTGAGGAACAGAGATGTCGAATTGATCCGCGGTCAAATCCTTGACATCACAGCTCTTTTCATATTCAAACCGAATGTTTGAAAGTTTTGAATCCGAAGTGACATGATGTTTCAAAGATCTTCCAAGCACGTAATCTCGTAATGTCTCATATCATTTATATATCATTTATCATTTTCTTCGGTGGTGTACCTTGTGCTGGCCCCAACACCACCAAACAATTTCCAGGATCAGTGGTAACATCACTCTTGTCATGTGTTGGGAACGGTAAAGCCCTGTCCCACTGGAGGACTTTTGAGCATCTTTGAGCAGTCTTTGACCTCTTTGACTTGCCCACAATACTCGCAGAAGTTTGGCAGATCCACTTACTTTCTTGTCCAGGATAGTGTCATTATGTGTCATTGCTCCTTGATGCCTTTTGAAACTCTTTATAATCGATTCCTGCTTCTTGCGTTTCTTATGTTCGATGCATCAGCCAAGGTGTGGGTTTGGGCATGTCGCATCCAGCCCAGGATCAGCGATGTGCCCATCGTCAAACAGCACGAAGGAATGATATGCCCAATCCTGGCGGCGCATGGCTGTGCATGTCATGTTTTGCTTCCATGTGTTTCCAAGATTGCAAACTCTTCAAACCATTTCAAACCACTAGATTCCTAGTCACGGGAGTGGCTTCATGATATTTGATGGACCAAATTTCACAAAGCTTTAAGACCAACATCAAAACAACCAAACAACCAGCATCTAGTAGCAGAGCAAGATTGCTGTAGGACGACTGGCGCATGACTTTGACGTGGCACCTGGAGTCCTTTCTACGCCATGCAAATGTCTTGCGTGTCACAAGTAGTCAGCCTAAGGCTTCAGAGATCTGTTTTTTTCAACGCGCCGAAGCTACCAATTGTTTGCCTTGTAAATATATTGCATGATCTGAAGCAATATTGTTTTTTTGTTGTCCATGCACAAGCCTTGTCTAATGGACACAAAACTTAAACTGATTGAAAACACACACACAAAACCAAGAAAACAAAATAAAGAAACCAAAAAAAAACAATGTTTTCCATACTAGTCTGAACATGGCTACTAGTAGATCCAACTAGTCCCCGAAACATTTTTTCTTTGTTTATTGTGTTTTTTGCTTTCTTTGTTTTTTTGGTCTTTGGTGTTTTTCGATGTTTTAAAATTCAGATGAATCCAAAGCCAATCTGATGAAGTCTTGCTTCTGCGGCATCCTCTATCTATCAAATGCATGCTTCACAACCGTTGTTTGAAACAATGCCTGTATGATAAACATGCGCAGTATTCCCTGGGGGTGCAATTTTCCATTTAAGGGATGAAGCCTTTGGGGATGTGCAATTTCCTGTTTTAGTGAGTGAAACATGTCCTTGCTTCAACTTAATGGTGTTCTTTTTCAGATAGAGGCGAGGGCAATTGGGCTTCTTTTAAAAGGAGTACCATATTCTTTTCAAAGAAATGGTGTTGCTGTCAAACATAAAGGACTACTGAGACAATTTTCCCGTTGGTGAGTGAAGCATTTCCCTCACATAAATGATGCGAATTTCCAAATGAAAGAAGGTTCAAAGAAATGGTGCTACAAGTACTTGCCAAAAACAGGGCAGCTGGGCTCTTTTGAACGGAGTGTTACATCATTTTCCTTTAAAGAAATGGTGTTACTTTCAAACATAGATGACAGCTGAGCTTTCAAAGGCGTGTTACTTCTTTAGTTTCTTTACTAGACACACTTCATATTCTGCAACAATATTGTTTCTGCTGTTTAAACAAATGACCGCAGGTTTAAGTGAAGTATTCTTCAAAGGAACATGCATATGTTTAAGGGACTATTTCTGTCATAAAAAAGGGGGAAACAAGTAGAGAACTAGTGTCTTAAAAGAAAGACTTCACAGTCAGGTTTTTCCCTAAAAAGTTCTGCGCTAGCTCAAAGCAATCATCAGCTTACAAGTGAAACCCTTTTGTTTGAAAGAACGGATGCTGCATATTTCTAAGGAAAACTGCACTTCTTCGAAGAATCTCATCTCTTCAAAGCATTACCTGCTGGAAATGTAGCACAGGTGCAAGACTCAATGGATTACATATTATGCATCTTTGGAATTAGAGTATAATTTCAACTGTGATAGATTGCACCATGGAAGGGGATTGGTGTGATACCACCTGGCTACAAACAAAATATTAGGACTTTTGCTCGAATATACTGATGGCACTGCATCAAGGGGAACCAATCTATTGAACATATCCACAACCTGTTGAAGACACCAGGGAGCTTCCTTACTTTTCCGACTGAAACAGGCCTTGTAGATGAACTAAGGTTGTGCTTTCAAAGATAACTCATTACTTTCAAAAGAATGCAGTTTTCCAATTTTCATGATTTTTGCTACACAAAAGGAAGGACTGTTGTTTCTGAGAAGTACATGATCTACATAAACTTCTCCGCTGCAGTCTTGCATTTTATGTCATACATATTCTACTGTATGTAATGCTTCCAAGTGGAGATGTATATTGCTTTCTCTTCCACGGTTTCTGCTTGGAATTTGCATGAATTTGCCATATCTTGAAACCAATAATTACCATTGCTCTGGAGGAGCGCGCATTTTGCAGGTGAATGTAGGTTTTGTCTGGTTCAGGCCTCCTCTTTTTAAACATCATATCTCATTGTGACCATTGCCTGCTTTGCTTCCAAAGGATACAGGAACATGAGGAAAGTCCAGTTTCTGGCGCTGGCAACAAGGCCCTCCCTTTTCAAAGTTTCAAAATACCTCAAACTTGAAAACTTATAATATACTGGTCAACACATGTCACAAGCTGACAGCAAATCAAACAGCTCATGGTTTCCCAGTCCTTGTATTCTTCAGGCCACCAAGGCTTTCGCTCAGTGTCGGCCAAAAAGCTTCCATGGACCACACTGCAGGACAAATGCAATGCTTCAAAGTGGCCACAAATAGAAACTCTGTCTGTGTGTCTGGACTCTGCACCTTGATTTTCGAGAATATGCTTGAACCAGTTTTGCTTGAGAATTTCCTCTTACCACTGGACTTTCATCACCATCAATTCAAACACCCAGCAATGCTGTCCTGCATTGGCCATGTCCCAAGCGCGCAAGCAAGTTGCTGGCTTTCTCCCGCAAGTAGATTTCCTTTGTGGTGCCCAAGAATGCAGGGCCAACTCATTAGGTGCACAAAACCAAGGGAAGAAGAATACTAAAGCATTTTGAGGATGACTCATCAGTGCAATTCGCACCAATGTCTCACATTTTCTGTGTGACCATGGACCCTCCTGGAAACAGAACTTTCAAGTTCATCACCCCTCAGTGCATGAAAGACTCGTCACACAGTTTCTTCGCAGAGATCTCATCCATGAACATAGGCCCACTCTTCCCAGTGTATTGTCGCCTATCGACATCTGTCGAAAAACATGTTGACCCGAGGATTCTGGGATTGTTGGGATTGGGATTGCAAAGGCCTGGTGTGATACATCAAAGAAAGGATTTCCATGGAGGCAGGCACATTGTCCTTTGTGATGCGCACTTCGCTCGCATCACCTTGGCATGGGCACTGCAAAGTTAGCATGGTTTCTGACTGTTTTGATTTTGTATTTATTTGAACCATGTTGGCGTTTGATATTTGTGCTCCAGCAACAGCTGTGATGGTGACTTCCAAAAAATGCATATCTCCGGCCGAAACATTCCGAAACTATGCCGCTAGCATGCTGGGGTGAAGGTTGCGGCACACGCCATCAGTGTCACAGTGCGCCATTCGACAAGCGGCATAAGCGTGATGACGCCCACGGTATATATCCATTGAATGGCATGCAAATCTCTGCCCAACCTGTGATGTGGGAAAACCGCTAGTCAGAGATGATTTTCTGCAACCTCCCTATCACCGAGTTTTGTATTGGCTGGACATGAAAGATCATGCGAGCATAAATGCCATATCATATCATACCAGCACTACACTAGAATTGCTCACCACTTGGTGTGAAGATCATATTGCGTCATGCACCTCCAAATCAAGTCCAGATCACACAAAAGCCTTCTTTACCTGATTAGCATGATTTATGCACATCATCAGCCAGTTGCAGTCATTTTCTTTCACTACAATAGATAATTCACAAATTATATCACCGTGTTGATATGTGTTGATTCAAGATATTCAAACACGATGCAGGACACCTACCGGACACCCATCACGGAATCCGGGAGCCTTCCGGATGCTCCGGCTCCTCCGTGCTGGAAGACAGGGATATATGCACATTACATCACATTACCCACTGGTGAACTAACATAGCTATTGAAAATAGCTATTTTTGATGGGTAAATCCACTGTAAATGGCCATTTTCAATAGCTATGTTAGTTTACCGGAGGGTATGTATATGTACACCGATGTTTTAAAGCCCTACAAATCCTCTCCCACATATCCCACATCAAATTATCCAATTCTTACTCTCCATGAGTTACATGAACTTGGCAAACTCAACCCTCCCCTTGGGGCTCACCGGAGCCTACGATGCGACAGCGTGGCACATAGGGGATTTGCACATGGCCGCCGGTCAAAACACTGCCTAGTCATCCTTTAAAAACACTATAAAGAATCAATAGCATTCCATAGCCAACTACCGAATCTACCGAGCACATCTTCTCTGCCGCTCTCCCCGCCCCGTCTCCAGTGCAAAGGCAGGGAAATCTGCTGGCAGCAATGCCAAGATTTCTGATTTCCAAGAAGCTGCTGCCCTGACCTGCAGAGGTTGCAGAAGGCCAATCCGAAGCTGGAAGAAACATGAAGAAATGCCAGGGATATCCAGGGATCCAGCCTCCGTGCGCTGGTCACCAAGGCCAATGAGCACTGGCTGCCTTGGTGTCACCGGCCGTATGCTAACAGATTTTCAGTGTGTTCCAGATGCAACAAAAATGAAATGCAAATAGAAATTGGGTAATGAAAGTGCAGCCCAATCATGTCCAATGTATCCCAGTGTATCTTCTTTGGTACAGAGCAATAACCAAACAGTATCAAATTCAGCACAAAATCATAGTGTAGAAGTGTGACTATAGAGGTTTGTTGCAACTTGTCACCCAGCTCATGAAGGAAATCCAAGTTGCCAAGGTTTCGCTCCATCTCGGAATATCGTGTTGCAGATCACTTGATGTGTGCTCAGCACTTCCGGCTTAGCGGCCAGACATGGTGAGGCAACGAACACACACACAGAAAAATGCCTGGAAGCAACTAACTGTATTAAGATGAAATGTTTGAACCGAACGTATCAGCATGGCGCTGGATTTACAGTGACTCTTGACTCAAAGTCAATGCGTCCGACTTCAGCTCAATGGTTGGGACACCTTGTGAACATGACCATACACCGCGGCAAGCTGCAATATCATGGACCATGCGGTTCACCAGATCAAACTTCGTCGTCACGATAGCAATGCTCGCCTGATGCATGCTCTACATCCCTCGCAGGAATGTCAATGAGATGGATGGTGTATCCACCACAAACTGCATAGTCTTATAACAATCGTCGAGCTACATTAACTCCCACGGACCCTGGCATCAACTGGCATCAACTGGCAGCAACTGGCAGCAACTCGGTCGAGATATGTCGAGATGCAAAGCCCTTCATGGCCATCCAAGTGTCAGCGCTGGACAGCCTCTTCGCAGCCAGACTGACCCAACAGATCCGGGATGCTGGAACTGCACGGAACTCATCTATCATACAAGTAGATAGTATAGATGTTTATATATAGATTCAAATACCATAATATACGTATATATACTGTATATAATTATATATATATATTTATACATACATATATTATCATATATTGGCAGCCCTGAACCATGTCAATGTGTGTATCTATGATGGTATGGTATGGTAATGGTAGTGGTAATGCTAGTGGTATTCTACAGTAATACAATGCAAATGTAAATGTGAATGCAAACTAATGAAACTTAACGAAATACAATGTAATCTAATGTAGTGCAGTGCAAAGTAATGTAAGTATGCAATTTCCACAGCTTGGAGTTCCAAAGTCCTTCACTATCTCAACTGTCTTGTCTTGTCCAATCTCTTCCCAACAAAAGTGCTTTGTCTGCGTGTCGTGACGCTCTCCGAAGATTCCTTGAGATTCCACAGCCTTGGATCACTCCAGCTGCGAATATTGAACCACTCAGACTTGGGGATCCTCTCCTGGCGGGCACAGTTTTTGACATTCAGAACCAAGAATCTGGAATACATCATATATCATCATATCAACGATACATTTTAAACTTCAATTCACGCAACTCAAGAGGTACAGTAAGCATCAGTAAGCACTGTTCAACCTGGCTTGAACACTTGACCGATTGTCCTCTTTCTGCAGTTCTGCAGTGTTGTGTCATGTTGTGTCTTTGCATGCGTTCTTAATGTTTTCGAACCATTTGTTTGAACCGAATCTCCGCTCAAAGATCCTAGGGTCCTAATGGTCCTAGGAACCTCAAGCTCTGCTCAACACAAGCACTAACAGCAATTGAGGAAAGGATTCCTGCATTGGTGCTCTTTGCCAGTGATTTCTAGATTCCAGAACATCACACAAATACACATGCACACACTCTCACAAACAAACACGTCATTTCGGGGCTCCAGAAGTATCGGTACTGCATCCAGGAGCTCCACAGAATGCAAAGATGCTGCTAGGAGCACATGCCACATCAGCTTCTGCGAGTGGAGTCACGAGATATCACGAGATGTAGCAGGTGAGGTTTGGGAGTTTGAGCCGATGTTTCCAGTTGCACACTGTTGGATACCTCTATGCCTCGATCATCCTCTATCAATCCTCTATCAATCCTCTATCAATATGTCAACAACAGCTCAAATAAAACTGCATTGCAAATCTGTTGCAAATCTGTATTGCAAACTTTGCGAACCGTGCGAGACAAACGCAGCCAGTGTGATTGGGTGACGCCTCGCCCCGGCACCTCTGAATCCAAATGGCGATCACAGTTGGCCGCCAAGGTCTTGACGAACAGTTCAATCAAATGGCCAAAGGATTCAGAGAGAACCTCCAGAAATGGCAGCCAGGAGCCAGGTGTCTAAATGTGAAGGTTTTGCCTGCGACTGTCTATTCCAGTCAAGTTCTGGTTTGTCCAAAAAACATTCAAAGATGTCCATAGGGCATCATGAATTCTGAGCTCAGAGTTTCAAAATCAGAGTTTCAAAATAATCAAAATATGTGTTTGTCGTTCTATTCGTTCTTAAAGGACTGGCCCTGTGCCTATTGGTCAAAGGCAAATGGCAAACCCTGCACTGCGCCTTGGGTGCAGCTAAGCAGAGCCATCGCCAAAGCTTGAGTCCCAATGGCCCGCCTCAGATGCAACATGTTCGCCTGCATTTTGCCAAGCTTCAATAGTTTGCAACTAACTTCTGCATTATTCTGGAGAGAAGTCAGAGAACAGTTATGATAAAGGCCCGAAATCATATTCAAGTTGATTCAAGAAGTAAGTTTTTGAGTAACAAAATACTCTCTCTCCCCGACTCTCCCCCAGTAAGTTCTCTGCAGGTGATATCTCCCAAGTTCTGCATGCCGATGCATCCAAAATCTTCGTAGAGGCTGTCGACTCCAATGACCTCCGGGCCACACACCTTAGAGGCTTAGAGGCTTTGGAATTATCATAATATATTATTATAATAACATGATATATTCTGACATACCATGATATATTACTATCATAATAGTATAATATATCATAATTGTCTATTTGGATCATTTGGATCAACCATGACATACCATGATCATGACCTCAAACCTCAAGGACTCCTTCATGATTGAATTTCAAGCTCTTCGGATCAAATCAGTTCAGCCAAATGTCGTGGTACTCCGATAAGGCTGTGAGGAAAGCGCAAATTGGATAGTAGTTGACCCGAGCAGTGACCAGTGCTGCTCGATAGTCCTTCATCGCTTGTTTGTTGATAGTGCCTGGAAACTTGAGAAACAAACGAAGGCCTCGAACGAAAAACAAAATGATGCATGCTGCATGATGCTGGGGTTTGATTTTGCCGTGCTATCCAGGGGTGGGCATTGTTCCCCCTTGCATCCATTCACAAGGAATGCAAGCACTGTAAGCAACAGATCCACTTGATCCAAGAGTGCAGCAGGGTCATAGACTGATGGTAGGATTCCTATTCCCGGTGTCAAAAATGGCAACACCTATCGCCCTTCGGAACCGGTCCGAACCTGAAAAAAGCTGAACTGCCAAACGAGCGATAAATTCCTGCGCCACTGATGCCTTGTCCAGGAATTCGCTGTCCTTCGCTCTGCTCGAAAGCACTAAGCACTCCATACAGCCCAACTATTAACACTGCTTTGCACACCATGCGAAATTGACCGAAATCGTGTGTAATATTAATATAGTATATGTTATTTATGATGTTAGTTTTAAATATGGATAATATTGTAGAATGTTATTGATGCGTCTTGTATGATCTCGCATGTAGTGTTTTGTGATGTTTTGCGTGTGCTACCAGTAGTGGTCAATCCACCTGGAAGCCAAGCTGAGCCCTTGGAGAGTCGCAATGTTGTAGCCTTGCCAGTTGGTGCCGAAGAAGCACACGGAGCTCCCGCCAGCGCACTGCATCAGCTGTGTCATCGTGTTCCTGCAAAATGTTTCAAGATGTTTCCAGGACATTGGTTGGACATGGGTCCGAACGGATGGCCAAAGCTGTGAAGAGTTTCCGGCAATTTCGGACCAAATGTATCCAAGCTACTGTGTATCTGTCAGAGGATGCCTTCTCATCACTCTCTTCCGGCATGTTGTCCAAAGCAACATTCTGCGTTACACAACGGCCTGAGGCATGACAAAAACAGGTGACAATGATTTTACCATATTTTACCAATGTCCGGCAGCAACATCTGAAAGCCCGGCTAGTGATATCAGTAGCTGCAGATAGTTGCAGTAGCTTCTATCACACTGCTGCAGGAGTTTGATTCGCCTGCAAGTTCCGCAAAGCCAATGATCAACCTCGATTGTTTCCCAGAAACACAAGACACAGGATGCACGCAACAGCTCCCTCCATCCGCAGATTGGATCCAGTATGCGTCCATGATGTCCCTTTTTAGACAGCTCCGAAAAAGAGTTCGCATTTTCCGCACAAAAAACCCTGAGATACCCTGTGGATATGACACAACATAACACCACCATGTGCAGAGAAACTGTGCAGAAGTCCACTGCTTCTCAAACATATCTTGAAGATTCTTGAAGCAAAGTGCTTGGGGAGGATGCTGCGTATGTATTGAGAGTCAGGATATGGAGACACTCAAATTTGTTGCCGGTGAGTTCCAGTTGAGAGAATGGATAAACGAACGAATAAACACTGGATATCCAGGCTGTGCATAGCTCCAGACTTCTATTTTTTCAGTCCAGCCAGTTGTTCCAGGACGAGAAACCGCTCCATCATGTGAAAGGACAAACCTTCATTGCGAGGTCCCCTGCCAGAACGATTTGCCATCATCCACCATCATCTACCATCATCTACCATCATCTACCATCATCCACCGTCATTCACCATCACTAGCCAAAGTCCCCAGTCCTTGTGCTCTCCCAGATTATCCCGGTACCTACAGTGCTCTTCCACAGTGGGTCACATGTTTTCACATGTGATGATCTGTCAATTCCTCGAGATTCATGCAACATTATTCTTACATATATATATATATTATATTATATATATACATAATTATATATTATGCATGTATACATATAATTACATATATACATACGTCCTTGTTGGTGCCCTGCAATCTTGATTTCTCCGGATAAAACACAGCAATTCCATTGAAATCTCTGCCTGAGATCAATCCTGTGCAGTGGCGAGGATTTTCTCGCCATCTCTGCCAATGTTGCCAGAGACCATTGCGCGTTGCTACGCGCTGTAGCGCACATGAATACCTCCGCGGTCTTGAATTTTTGGCAGGGAGAACATGGGCTCGTCAAATGGCAGATACTAATGTGTCAAATGCACTGATTTCAGATCTTGGAATCATGTAGCATCAAGAATGCTTTGCTTGACCTCAAATGAAGAATTGTATTGAAGCAAAAGAAATCAGTCCAGAGACTCCAGCAAACACAGCGGCAGTGCGCATTTCAGGTAGATTCCTGTTTCTACACGCTTGACGGTATGGTGCAATAAATGCGAAGCCCTTCGTTTCAGACATGCAGCTGCATTTCCAGCAAGGGAATAGGCTAAGAAGGTCTCATAGTAGCTTTGAATGTAATAGGCATCTGGGGCCTTTGGTCCTGCATCTTTGCAGCAGTTTTCGTGACCATCACAAAAACATTGTGCAACATACTATCTAGGAAGGACTCCCACTTGGATGCTGCAAAATGCATTAGGGATCAGGGTTGCTCATGTTCTCTTCAATGTGGTGACCTTGAAACTGAACATACTGAACATGGGACATGGGATTCACCTGGGACCTGAAAAACCGGGGGCTGTTCCAGGGCTGTTCCGGCTCCACTGGGTCCTGCAGGATATATTCGCCACATCTCGTGCCGTCGCATGCTGGGCATTCGAAGATGCAAAGCTTCTGCGCTGGCATTCGACGCCAGAAGAACTAGGCCATCTGAGTTTCGCAGCTGCCATAGCCTCGGTGAATGTGAAACATGTCATCCATGTCCCCGCCACCGCTTTTGAGTCCAAAGGAACAATTCAAATTTACGTTGCGGATAAGGCCATCATACTTGTAAGATCTTGTAAGTGTAAGTGTGTAGCATTCGAATGTTTGATTAAATGCACCAGTTCTGCGTTCGGCTTGAAAGAAATATCAACATACATTTTTTAACGGCACATCGTCGCCACCAAGCTGCCCTTCCTCAACGTGAACCAAGGTCCAAGACTTTTGATGCCACATTTCCTGCAAGAGGAGGGTCAAAGTCTATTACAATACGATAGAGATACTACAAATCATCGCATATTGAAATGCAGGCAAAAAGTGAATATATACTTCCAGTGAATGAATGGTGGGTATTGAATTGTGGCATTTTGTTTTGTCCCAGATCTGATCTTTTCAGTTTGCTGAATTTGTTGCAAATCTCACGAGTAGCAATTTCTTGCTTTTATCATCTTATTTTGCACAACTTCCAAAGCCAAGGTTTCCAACGGATAGAATCCTTTACTAGCATCAAGTTTTACTATGTGTCACTCTTGCTGTTTGCATCTTCCTTAGCACCGCTTCCAAAGGATGCCAAGGTTTCCAAAGAAGACGAAGAAGAAGAAGAAGAAGATGAAGTAAAATGAAGCAAATACTAAACAGGAAAAGAAAAAGGAGGAAAGAAAGCAGAAACAAAGAAAGGAAGAAAGACAAGAACAAAGGGAAAGGAAGACAGAAGGAAAGAAAGCAGGAAAGAAAAAGGAAAGGAAAAGGAAATCAGGGAAGAACGAAGGAGAGAATGAATGAAAGAAAAAATCATGATCCAATGATATCCAATGATATCCTATATCAATACAGTCTACTCCTCGAAGATCTTCTCCCTCACCCATGAGCCCAACAAAGAAATGAATTGAAAGTACATTCAAACGATTAAAACCGAATTAAAACCCTTAGCAGCCTTAGCATCCCTTAGCACTAGTAATGCTAGTACTTAGATTCATGACATTGAAACTTTTTTTTTCCCCAGCAAGACGGGCAAGGTTTCAATTGAGTGGGCGGGGTTACACATTAATCAGCAGTCAACACTCGTGATCAGAATCAACTTCACTATCTTCACTTAAGAAATGTCCTGGTCCCAGTCCTTTTCACTTGGCTTCAAGCACAAACCCAAAAGCCCGAGTGCTGGATCACCGAAACGCTGAGCACTGCCTAGCTACACCATGCGATTGGATTGGGTCTGATTTGGGAGCTTGACTGGATAAGGATATTAAGACATATTGAAACAAGTTGAGAGCGAATTGCCACCTGGTGGAATTGGTGCATATCAGCCAGATGGGTTCAAACACGCTCTATCTGCCAAAAGACTGACGCATACTGACGCATTTTGCAGGCGACCTCCTTATACCGCTGCTATTCCATGGCTCGCTCCTAATGTATTCACTCAATATGCTACCCAACATTCCAAAGCCCCCAACATCAAGCTCCCAGCCTGCGAGGCATAGTTCCTGATGGTCTACTGGGCTCAAAAAACAGCTTTGTCGCTGTGGCCTGAGCAGTGTTGCCCCATGAGCCCACGGCCCACCTATGGACGGATCAGCACACCATCACGCGCTTTGCAACCGCGCAGCAAGAGATCCCAAGTGGAAGGGCAAAAGCACAGAGGAGCAGTAGACATTTCCGACCATTCTGTGATGATAATGCCTGTCGCATCAGGTGCCATCTGTCACGTCCTTCTGTGGAGTCCGCTAACTTTTCGTAAAACTGGGAATGGGTTCAAGGAAATAAAGGAGGAATAAAAATGAATAGAAATGGGTATAAAAGTCATTAAAGGTCATAGCTGTCAACAGCCGAAGTCAGACCAGCCGGCATCAGCATTCCACGATTCGAGCGCAAGCATTTATATGCATGTATTATCATTTATTCATATTTATTCATTCAGTTCTGCCAGGGCATCATCCGGTGCTATCCAGTGCCTGCAGAGCCATGGTCGCAAACATCACCGAAGAAAAACTTTTGAGCCACTTTGAGCTCTGACTCCAGGAGTCGTAAAAAGTTGATGCCATGCACAAAGCTACCCACCTTAGTGAAAGATAGTGAAAGCTGCTATGATTGCTAAGTCAATGGATTGGACCAGTAAATAGAAACTAGACTTTGGGGAACCACTTCAGATTGATGGAAAAGAAAAGAATGTGTGGGCCCGGGCTAACTATCGGGCTGCTGAACTTGTGTAAAGTTTGAGTCTGCAGTGGTTTATTCCGGGCCCAAGTGTCTTAACATATTTTAACATTCTTTTGGAAGAGACCATGTCGTCTGAGCTGATGACTGAAGTTCTGGGTTTCAAAACTCCTGGTGTGGAGCAGAGCCGCTCACTTTTCACCAGGTGTATCCGGTTTTCATTCTAACCCAAAGGATCCCAAAGGTTACACCCAACCAGGGGTCGCAAACTGGAAAATGGTGTTAAGTGATGAATGCACAAGTTCATCACCTGCAAATGCTGGATAAAGTCCTGAGAGCACTTTGATGTCACGGCTCTCCTGCGCCCGGGCTAGAAGTCTTGTTCACTGTGGTGACGCACTAACGCATTCAAATGTCTCACATCAAGCCTGGTCCATCTTTTCACCCCAACCGCTGGGAATCTTGGGAATCTTTGCACATCAGCCAATCTGCAGACTTCCCTTGATTATGATTACCTGGATCGTTTGGACAAAATGTCGTCTCCCGTCCCTGTCCTTGAAAAATGTCACCGCCAACATGGTCACTCCTCCTGTCAAAAGAACTTCCAGAAGGTGCGCGCCTGGCTGGATCGGCAACATGCGAAATGCAACAGTTTTTCAAATGGTTTCCGGTTGGTGATGAATCTACTCATCAACTCAAACACCAACCACAATCAAAGCCATAGGGCACCTTCAGTAAGAGGCCGCAAAGCAATCACTTGTGATACAGTTTGATCCTGCCAGACACAAAGTGCAACGTTAAGGGAAAGCACTTGATGCGAAAACACATTCTTCAGAATAATATAAAGACTACAAAGCACGTTGATTTGTATGATGTTTCCATACTCTTAATCAATGCCCAAACTTGCTCCCCAACTGCACATGCCAAAGTAAGAGCACGAGTACATCTTGAGTCGCCAAAGTTTAAGCTCCGAGCTGAGCGACAAAATGAACTAATTACAAAAAAAACATGCATCATAACATAGACCCGGGCAAGCCGGCGGCGGAAGTTTCCCAAACATAAATGACCTATAGTTCAAAGACAACCTGTCCCGACCGTGTCCTTCCCTCGACGCTCCACACCTCACACTGCACACTGCACTCTTCGCACTCCAAACTTCAAACTTCACACTCCACACTTCACACTTCACACTCCACACTTCTCACTTCTCACTGCTTCCTTCACACTCCAAACCTCACACTTCACACTTCACACTTCACACTGCGCTCTTCGCACTCCAAACTTAAACTTCACACTCCACACTGCACACTTCACACTCCACACTTCACACTTCTCACTTCCCACTGCTTCCTTCACACTTCACACTTCACGCTGCACTCTTTACGCCCCACACTTCACACTGCTCTAAACCTACGTGGAACAAGAAAAACACTAATGCGACAAAATGGAGAAATCTGCGGACAAATCACTGTGGCAGCCTTCATGCAGCCACTCCAATACGATTTACGAAGTCGAGCTGCAAAAGACACTAGTATTACGAATGCAGCCACAGCACGAAGCAACCTTGACGCAGCCATTACAATGCGATCTGCAGAGACTGAGTTGCAAAACACAAAAGAACTACGCGCAACGGCGTCAGAAATTGTAGCTCCAAAACCGGATCTCGACGCCAGAGCGAAAAAAAGACGATTTTGAAGCACTTTTTAAAAGGATTTTTAGAAGGAAAATCATTAGCGCCAAAATGGAGAAAATCTGCTGACAAATCACTGTCGCAGCCTTCATGCAGCCACTCCAATACGATTTACGAGATCCAGCTGCAAAAGACACTAGTATTACGAATGCAGCCACAGCACGAAGCAACCTTGACGCAGCCATTAAAATGCGATCTGCAGAGACTGAGTTGCAAAACACAATAGAACTACGCGCAACGGCGTCGGAAATTGTAGCTCCAAAGACTGAGCTGCAAACTGCAATCCCATTTACATTGCGGGAACGATCCTACAGTTGCAAAGCACAATGGAATTCCATCGGCAACTCATCCACCAGCAACACTTGCAATCCCATTTACATTGCTGGAACGATCCTACAGTTGCAAATCAGAATGGAATTCCATCGGCAACTCATCCACCAGCACCACTTGCAATCCCATTTGCATTGCGGGAACGATCCTACAGTTGCAAATCACAATGGAATTCTGTCGACCGCACATGCACGAAAAACAGGTGAAACCCCATTTACAATGCGGAACCGATCCGATCATGATCCGAACATGATCCGCCCATGATCCCATGATCCGACCACACACGAGACCGTCTCGCAACCGTCGCACCGCAGAGGTAGATCATCGAGGTTCGGGGACGGACTTTGTATGGAAAAACATAGGGTTTCGTGCATCTGCTATCTCTCAAAACGCATTTCGTGCGAGACTTCCTTCAAAACTCCATCGGCAACTCCTCCACCAGCACCACTTGCAATGCCATTTGCATTGCGGGAACGATCCTACAGTTGCAAATCACAATGGAATTCCATCGGCAACTCATCCACCAGCACCACTTGCAATCCCATTTACATTGCGGGAACGATCCTACAGTTGCAAATCACAATGGAATTCTGTCGACCGCACATGCACGAAAAACAGGTGAAACCCCATTTACAATGCGGAACCGATCCGACCATGCCGACCATGATCCGAACATGATCCGCCCATGATCCGACCACACACGAGACCGTCTCGCAACCGTCGCACCGCAGAGGTAGATCATCGAGGTTCGGGGACGGACTTTGTATGGAAAAACATAGGGTTTCGTGCATCTGCTATCTCTCAAAAACGCATTTCGTGCGAGACTTCCTTCAAAACTCCATCGGCAACTCCTCCACCAGCACCACTTGCAATGCCATTTGCATTGCGGGAACGATCCTACAGTTGCAAAGCACAATGGAATTCCATCGGCAACTCATCCACCAGCACCACTTGCAATCCCATTTACATTGCTGGAACGATCCTACAGTTGCAAATCACAATGGAATTCTGTCGACCGCACATGCACGAAAAACAGGTGAAACCCCATTTACAATGCGGAACCGATCCGAACCGATCCGACCATGATCCGCCCATGATCCGACCACACACGAGACCGTCTCGCAACCGTCGCACCGCAGAGGTAGATCATCGAGGTTCGGGGACGGACTTTGTATGGAAAAACATAGGGTTTCGTGCATCTGCTATCTCTCAAAAACGCATTTCGTGCGAGACTTCCTTCAAAACTCCATCGGCAACTCCTCCACCAGCACCACTTGCAATGCCATTCTAACTCTTTCTTTGACTAACTCTTTCCCTGACATTCCAAAAGTTACAATTAACTCTGTCCCTAACTAACTCTTTCCCTCACTAACTCTTCCTTTGACTAGCTCTTTCCCTGACAGTCTAAAAGTTACAATTAACTATAATTAACTCTTTCCCTAACTAACTTTTTCCCTCACTAACTCTTTATTTGACTAGCTCTTTCCCTGACAGTCTAAAAGTTACAATTAACTATAATTAACTCTTTCCCTCACTAACTCTTTATTTGACTAGCTCTTTCCCTGACAGTCTAAAAGTTACAATTAACTCTTTCCCTAACTAACTCTTTCCCTCGCTAACTCTTTCTTTGACTAACTCTTTCCCTGACATTCCAAAAGTCCGTAACACGGAAGTTTCTCCCCCTAAACTTCCTTTGATAATATATATATATACAGTATCATATATCATGATCCTATCTCTAGGAAGAAAAACTCAGCGCTGGCGCACATGCCAGTGCTCTATGTGCACTATCGATGTCAAAAGGTGCCAGTACACTACGATAAACTACTACCATATAGATTCATATAGATAAAAGTCAATCGCATCCACATGTTTCCAACTTGGGTCCTCTGGCAAGGTCTTTGCTTGCCAAAACGCACGGCTTAGCCAGTGTGCACCCACTGTAAGCAGTTCTGCGGGCGAGGCCGGCAAAGCCAGGCCATAGTGTATGCCTCGCACAGCGACATGCTGCACCGCTGAAATCAAACCGCTGAACATCTCCCGCCTATGCCTCGACCTTTAACCTCGCGTGACTTTTTGCGAGCTCGTTCTTCGATGCAACGTCTTTTGCAGCTGGTTACTGCCTCCTCCTTCAGTGCAAACGCAGAACCTTTAGGTGAGTTGAGGAATGCAAACCCAAATGCCATCAAGTAAGCATGCAACATCATGCAACTTTGGCGCAAAAGGAGTTTTGAGAATGAAAGAGTTGTTCGTGTCCAGCATTCAACATTCCTGACGCACATGTTCGGCTTCCACCAAATCGTCGAAGTCGATGAGGCCATGACCACACACCTCGCCAAGATTGCATAATCCACAGCGCACAGAGCAGTACAACAGTAACCACACAACATCACTAGGCCACTATGCATCACTTGAATCTTGCAATCAGGGTCCAGCAAAAGCAAGTCACATCAATTTATGTTTACATCATTCTAAGTATGTCAGACTAAGCGAGAAGTCACATAAATTCTAGAGGGTCGTCATGGGTGGCCTCTGGTCCATCCTCGGATTTCTGCGCAGCTTGAGAAGACTCTGCTTCCTGCAAAAGGTCAGTGAAGCAATGAATATCATTGCTATTATCAATCTATACTGAATCTACACTGAATCTATACCTAGATCTCAAGACACTTCGACTATATTCGTAACATTTCGTACCTGCTGCTCCAACTCGTCGAATGCAAACAACATCTGCAAGCGAAGACCCCACACAGGTCGCCATTTGCAGCAAGCGCTTTTGTCAGACGTGAAGAAACATCATGTTGACCGGAGCTTTCTCAGACGTCTTTTCAGATTCTTCAAGATTGGAAATCCCGAAAGCCGACCAAGATCGACCAAGTTCAGTTTGCAGATGGCAATATTGCATCGTGCGTTTGAGACAAGAGATGTTCCAGCCATTGCGGGGAACCATTGACTGATGATTAAACATGATTAAACCACATTGAAGATCTCTAAAATATTTAGACATATCATAAACAGTATTAAAACATCATCAAACTTAAAACCAAAACGCGCAAATCGCGAATGTCAGCAGCCCAGCAAGTTGATGGTGGGCATTCTTGGGGCAAGTGCTTAGCGTGAGAGCTTAATGGCGCGGATCGGCAGAATTGACCAAAACAAGGTAAGCGTACAGCAGCTTTCCCATGGACCAACGTTTGAAACAAGCATTTTGAACTTGACACAGCAATACCTTGTACATAGTCATTTTGTGTTGCATGAATGATCCGAAGTGAGGAAAATCCATGCAACGAGACTCCAGTGTCAGTGCAGCTCTTCTTTCGCTATTCGCATCTTGCGAAAATGGCATGAAACGCACATATTTGGAGATCCTCACTGCGGATAGTATGTACATTCTCAGGCAATGAGCAATGAAAGTGCACTCCGCAGCAAAAAAGTTGTGCCCTTCAACCAAGCCTTCAACTGCACCTTGGCTCTCTGTTGCTTGGAAATGCTTGGAACACAAGTAGCAGCGGCGCGCACTTCAATATGCAATCGCCTCCTTTGGAGGAGATTGTTTGCTAACACATGCCATCCTCGGCACACTATTCAAATGTGCAGGTTATGCGCAAGGCACATCATTGATTACAGTTCAATAGTCTTCAATATATTTCATGGGAAAATGAAGTGTTTACCAAAAATCCGCAAACAGCAAATCATATAAAAGCTAAAAGGTAAGACATGGTAGGAGCGTAAGACCTTGATTCCGCGGCAGCTGTTTGCATCTCGTGTCACGTGAGCAAATCAGGCGAGCTCTGAGAGTTCAATCGGCGGATCAGCTTCGACCAGTCTTCCAGCCCCTGATCCAGATCCAGGCAGTTCCATGCAGTTCGAAAACCCCACAGCCATGACGATGCTGCACTGATGTTGATACCCAATATGACAATACAGGACCTTACCTTCCCTGAAACTGCCTCTTTACATCTCTTTACATATCTTTGCCTGTTCAGGGTGTTGAGATGTGGCAACAACCAACATATCACATCTGATCATATCTGATGATCATATCTGATCATATCTGATAAACTTAAATTGCAACATATATCAACCTGCTGTGCACATCAGGCAATTCCTTGACAATGGAGGGTGTCCTCTTCCGGCATAGGCGGTGTCCTGCGCATCATAGGTGGCCCCACCTGTCAATATGAAGCCAATGCGTGGCTTCCATTAGTTTGAAAATCAATGACAATTGATGAAATTTGGGACTCATTTCATATCATTTCACTTTCATTCTCAAAAATTGGTTGTGGAAATTCACTGGGATGGGACTGAAAGTCAAACTGGAGAGGGAAGAAATATTCCAGATTCCATGCAATTCCAAACTTGTTTGCAAAATGGCAATCTTGCCTTTCAAAAAATGAAGACGACACTGCTCTGCTCACACCATCACTTTCAGCTGTTAACTGGTGATGTGACGCACTACTGCAGCCTACAGTATCAAAAAAGAAAGGCCCATCATGTCAAGAACATCCTACGAGTGACGTACCAGGAGGCTCCATCTTCATTGCAAAGACACACCCAAAATACGCAGAATCCAACTAGGTCTGCAACAAGTGACTCATGAATGCACATCATATATATCTGGAGGTTTCGTACAATGTGGGTACCTCTAAATCATCCATTTCAATAGGATTTTCAACCATCCAGCTAATTGGGTACCCCCATTTTAGGAAACCCACATCTGTTGGTGGTTTCACTCTGCCTGAGGCAAGCTACGGGCTCGTCCAGCAGAGCTGACTGAAAGCACGGCCATCATGTGATCTGGGTAAATTACAATACACACACATCTGAAATAAAACTACTTTTGGGATAGTTACCCTGATTAACGATTCTTCCAGGGAGGTCACAGTGAGGACATAATTTGCCCAGATGTTGTCATGTTATGTTTGAACGAAAGTGGTGTGAACCGTGCAAGTAGGTTGCTGATTTTGAAAAAACAACAACTGCATGAGTACCTTGCTCAAACGAACTCACACTTGCAATTTGCCGTAGTGTCATAAAATTCCAACACGGTCGCATCAGGGCTGTGCTTTGGTTGGCCTCTTTGCCTTTGGGCTTGAGCTGGCTTTTCAGGAAGACCCTGGCCAAACACAATAAATTCAAACCTGGAAGGCTAGGTTGGAATTCTGGACCGTGGTCACCAATATTCACCATACATTGATCGCTTATGATTGTGTAAGTCCACCGGCCTGCCGGTGTGTCTTGTGGATTTTGTTTGTTCGTAGTTGTTCTGTCTGTTTTATCTTTGTCTAGACTTCCCCTTGGCGCGGATTTTTGCCTCGTGAACCCCCCCTAGCGCTGCATCGTTTCGTCTTCATCTTTCCTTACGTCGTGGTGGGCTCAACTCTGCCCACACCTCGCTCAACGCCAGCTTGGTTTTGCACGTCTTGCTGTCATTCCGATGGTTGTTTATGTTTTTTTGTTGTGTTTGCCATCGGTTTGCCAGTGAAGCTGCGCAGCACCAGGCGCCAGACTTCCGCGCCGAAAAGGCTCTCGGAGACCTCAACAAACTGAAGTCGAAAAAAACAACAACCGAGAGCTCCCAATGACTTTTCAAGCAGAAAAATTCGGAAGGAGTTGGAAAAGTGTGATGTCTACACTCAGTTGTTGTTCAGGGTTTGTTCTTTTCTTGCACGTTCATTTAAGTTAAGGTTTGGTCCTTCAAGTCCGCTCGCCAGGGTGACTTGGAAGGTTTGGCCCTTTCTCCTCACCGGTGTTTCTCACTTTTGGTCAACCAGTATTCATGTATCAAAAATGCGCATCCAAACATGCACATACCCTCTGGCAATTGAGTGTTGCGCATACCCTCTGGTAATGTTTTGATATGGCAATGCCAAATCCAAGCCATCTGCAAATAGGCGGCGGGTGTTTAGCTAGCCATGTGAAATTGCCCAGGTACCACACCCAACTGTTTCCCAGTCTCCCACATTTTTTTCTTCCGTTAGCACGGGTCGCACATGTGAGTTTTTTAATTGGGTCACCTGGCCGCCACTGTCTTCACATTGATTACCAGGGCTTGCGTCATTTGGCAATTTTCTTATTTAGATCATCTTCACTTGCTCATGGCATCAATGCCCTTCACGGCAATCGCTGCCATCACTGCCGCTCCAGCCTTTGAGCTCAGAAACATTGATGCAGCGGCGCCCGCCTTGTGGATCACCTTTTTCATCGGGCTTTCCTCTGCGCTGGTGAAGTCAATTATTCGCAGGGAGGGTTGGCGCTTTTTGGGCTGACGATCTTCGGGCTTCCTCTTCGCGGTGACATCTCAGGCCTTCTTCTTCCAGGCCTCTCTGAACTCGGCCAGACTCAGCATTCCATCTTGATTTTGATCCGCATCTCGCAACTGGGCGCGCGGCGGTGCATTACCCATGAGCCTAGCTTTAGAAGATTCTTGGCCAGCTAAAGCCTGAAAAAAAAAATATATTGTAATTTCAATTTTCGTCTGTCATTTTGTTTGTAAAAAAATGGCAGGTCTGGAAAAATCACAAACATAAATGACAAATGGCAAAAAATGATAACTTCTTGAGAAAGCGCCATTTTGGCAACTTGCAAATTTGTCATTTTGTTTGTCATTTTCTTGTCGTTTTCCTGAAGGTTTGTCATTTTTTGTCATTCTGTGATTTGTCATTTTGTGCTCTGTCATTTGTCATCCTGAACAAGAAGAATTGGATAAATTAGCACAGCTTTTGAGAACGAGGAGCCACCACTGCTGCTTCATCATCTGTTGAGTTTGGTGGCCGAGGAGAATCAGATGCCCGTGATCGCATGACGCCAGTCCGATTCTCATGAAAGGCGACGTTTGGAAAGATATCCTTGACCACGTCCGTGACTATTCCCACATGCCGTCCGCGGTTTTGAAGCTGTAGTTCTTTCAACAACCTCCGGGACAAAAACCGCGAGCTTGCAATCACCAAAATTTGCAATCATCAAAAACCTCAAAACATCAAAATCACCAAGTCGTAGTTCTTGGTTTTTGGGCCACAAACAAAATCACCAAAACCACAGGACAAAAAATCAAACAAGGCCATACTCACCAAGTGGCTCCTTCTGATAGATAGAAGAAGCAGAATCTGCCTTCAGCAACTCCTTAACAAGTTTCTGCAAAGTATTGTGGAGCCACATTGGCATCTTGGTCACGGAAATGGCTCAAGATGGTTAGTGGTTGATGGTGCTTAATCATTGTCAATGGCTTTGCCAGAAACATCAAAAACTGCTGTTTCGGTCATTGATCCGGCAGTTTCATTGCAGTACGTCCGCATCAACCACTTGGACTGCCATGAGAAGCAATGGTCATTTACGCACAGTTGGCTGATCTAGAAGCCGGTCGCGAGTCAGCGGAGGCCCCATCCCCAAGCATCTGCCAAATTTAAGAATTTGACCAGAACAGCAGAAACTCAAGAAGCTCAAGCATTTGGATCATCGCAGTTCGGAATGAGACCATCGCTATTTGGATCTCATTTGTTGAATCCTTCCGAACTAGCGGACGGTCTCACCTGCTGGTAGCTCTTTATTGGCATTATAGCTGGTATGTGCTTCATAATGGCTAAGAATCAACTCATGATGCTTACTAACCAATTAATAGTGATCAACAACTGCTCTGAAGTTCTTGGAATCTGCGTTCCCCCGGTTTAGCGGAATGCCTTTTTGATACAGAATCCATGGCTGCTGTTCACTCTCTTGCTTAAAATTAGTTCAACACTTACTGCATGCCACTGCAGCCGGTTGGCACATTGGTGAGCATACAGCTCCCAAAAAACGTTGTGCTCAACAGTTGTTCTTATATCCAATTGTTTGTGCCGAACACCTTTTACACGCATAATCTTTCTAAATATGACCTTTTCCAAAGTCTTTCTCAATATGGCCTTTTCCAAAACCCGGTTTACACACATGCTTTGGTTTAAACTTAAACCGTGGTTTGAACAAAACCAATGCTTTTGCGTCCAAGCCCTGTTTTTACGCAAAGAGCTGTTTTACACAAAAAGTGCGTTATCAACAAACACCATGTTGTACACAAAAACCATGTTCTTGCTGGGCCACTGCAAGGGCTGTTTGCAACTTACAGGATAGCTCTTTCCATGGTGGCCGGCGGAACACACCGAAGGCGGTTAAATATACCTCGGGCACACATCAATTTTGAACCTGCTGTAGCTCAAAACAGATCTCGTGAGTAGACCCTGAAAGGGCCCAGCTGTGAACAAGCATCTTGGCGTCTGCTTAGTTGGCTTGGTTGCAACAGTAACACTTCACGACGAAATCATAACAATCTTTGCTTCACGATCGCTTACTCTTGTTGTCTTCTGCTGGGCCTTTACGCCCTTTGTGAAGCCCTTCGCGGCCTTGCAAGGAGTTCGGGCGTCTGTACAAGCAAAGCTCTGCCGAAGAATCCGGACTGAATGCCGTCGATTGGATGCTGCGACTTGGCAGAATGCGATGGTAAGGTATGAATATGGTATGAACCAGTTTTCTTTGTTTTTGCAGGTCCGCACCTGCCGCTTAAACTCCGCTTCGATCTTCGCTTTCTTTAGAGGCGGTGGCTTTTTCTCCTGCATCACCATGCAATCTCGTCCATCAAAACGATGAACTTCTTTGGGCTTCAAATAGAGTACAGTATATATATATATTATAAACATATGAAATGCAAGCGCAGGTACAGGTATGTGCAGGTAAACAATTTGGGGCAGAGTAGGGGGTACCCTGGTGCAATTAATTATATGTATCCCTCACTGTCTATCACTCTCCGGAACGGACGGCTGAATGAAAAACCAAGGGCCACACATAAGCCTGACCATCGCCGTGAACGATCGGATGCCCTTGAACAAAGTTGGTCTCCAACTGGGCGCAAATAGCAGAAATATGGCAACAATAAAATAAAACAAACATAAACAAACCATTGACAAACCATGTCCTTTTGCAAGTTGGAACGACCAGCACCATTGACCCAGGAGCTGAGCTCCAAACGCAAAGAGCCTCAAAGAGTGTGCGGTGGTCAAACCTCAGTGACTGTGACCAGGGATGACCAGAGCCACATTTCCACATCATCCATCCATATTAATATTCTCTTTATCACAAAACCTGAAGAATGGTCATGCTAGGGACATGCACAATGGTCATGCCAGCAAATGCGAGCTGCAGCCAAGGCACTTGGGCCCTACATCACCACGATGGTATGCGGCATTCTCGGTCAATCGGTTGCTTGAATCACATGCCATGTGGGTACCCAAAGGAAAATTTGGAAATTGCATGGACATACTGTGACATACCATCAATTGCTGGAGTCTTGCAGCAATCCAATTCTATCGGCTGGGCTGGGCTCGTGACACAATTTCTGCCTTCCAACCTTCTCATGGTGGCACCAGATTCTTCGACCAATCTGACGTGAAGAGGGCAACAGCAACCACTGAGCTGCAAACTTCTCAACAGGAAGTGTTCGTTGTCCCGTTGTCTCGATAAAGCCAAGCCCTACAGCACCACGGACACCTGAATGCTGCGGACATCTCAGCTGTTGTGAACATGTCAGCTGGAAAATGTCAAAATGTCGTGACATGTTGTGGCATGTAAGGATTATTACTATATATTATAAAATAAGAAATACTATTCAGAAAATGGGGGATTACCGCATGAACTGGGA